CCTTATGAACCCGAAAGCTTCACAAACCCCTGCCCTAAACCTAACCCTAAACCCAAAGCCCTAACCTTACCCTAAGCCCTGAACCCTAAACCTAAACCCTAAACCCTAAGCCCTCAACCTAACCCTAAGCACTACGGCTTATAGCCCCCTGAAGCCCCAAAAAGCCCCGAGAAGCCCCGAAAAGCCCCGAGAGACGGACGCGGATCGGCCTAAAGCCCTGAAGCGGCGCAGATTCCTCGTGTTGTCTGAGGTGAGATGCTTTAGGGTTTTGGGGTTTAGGGTCTAGGATTTAGGAGTTTTGGGGTTTTGGGGTTTAGGGTTTGGGGTTTAGGGTTTAGGGGTTTGGGGTTTGGGTTTTAGGGTTTAGGGGTTTAGGGTGGTTTAGGTTTTGGGACAAGTCCTAAGTCCTATAGCTTCAGCTGTAGAGCCTTCTTCCCTGACCCTCATTAAACGCCGGCTTGATCCATCCGGAGGGCTGGACAAGAAGGGTCATGGGCCGCTGTTGGCAGCCACATTGGCTGGAGTGCCTGCACTCGTGCGCCATTTGCTTCAGGCATGCGCGGGCGGGTGATTAGGGGCTTTCCTGGTTTTCGGCGCAAAAGATATTGCAGAAGCAAGCTTTGCGGTACGGACATGTTCACATAACTTAGGACTTCATAGGGCTTGTGGCTTCATTCCTAGGACTTCATAGGGCTTGTGGCTTCATTCCTGCAAGCCCTACACCCTAGACCCAAACAGGTGTCGCATTTATGGGGGTTGCTTGGGAATGTATAGGGTACATGGAGCGTGCATTTCATAGTTCACGACCTTTAGACTACACGGATTCTAGGACATTTTCAGATCGGTACTTACCGTTATTGGATCCTCAAAAAGATCTATATACCTTATGGAAGCCTTATAGAAGCCCTATATACCCGAAACTCCCCACCTGTAGTTTCCTTCAACGGATGTATTGTGTCAGGGCCTGGGCTGCCTATCATCCCAGTGTAGGTTGCGTTTGAGCACAGTCAGCATTGAGCCTGTTGAGGGTTTAGGGTTTGGGGTTTAAGGGTTTAGGGTTTAGGGTTTAGGGTGTGACTGTTGGCTGAAGTCTTCCCGTTCTTTCATCCTAGAGCCTCAAATTCCGAAAAGACTTGGAAGATAGAATATGAGGTGCTTGCACACAAGAACAGCCCCTCGACAAGCGAACCTGCGTCCAAGCATCATGAGTTCTGTAGATCTCATATAGATCCATCCCTTATATAACCCCAAACCCCAGAACATGGAACAAAAGACTCAGAACGCCCAGCCAAGCCCAAAACCCCAAAAACCAAGTCCCCACCACCCGACGCCTAAAAAGCCGGAAGCCTCCCTAAACCCTTTAAACCCAAAACCAAAGCTTGCGTGGCTGCTTTTTGCAGGCAAAGGCCAGCACGGCCTCTGCAGGCCAGGATGACAAGGGCCGCAGTGCTGCTGGGCAGCAGTAGGATCGCAAAAACATGATTATTACGATTGTCATTTCTGCGAGTATCAAGATTATGAGTACTGTTTTTTTTGCCATGCACATGAATTTTGGCTTATTAATAATTACGTACAGTAGTTTGGTCATTATCGTTGTTGCTAATATTAGTTGGTGTTATTGTTTTCGTTTTCATTGTGATGGTGGTGATTACTAATTACGATCACTGCAAGTGTTAGTCGTGATATTAATATGGCTACTGTTACTGCTACTGCCAGTGCTATTACGACGACGAACAGCAACGACTACCACGACGAGGACGACTACGACTAACACACTAACACCACCACGACAACGACAACGACCACTAATACTGCTACTGCTACTACCGATGCTTCCATTGTGGCGAATATAGATGTTACGATTGCTGTTTTAGTTACCACTATTGACGCTTTTTACGAAGTGTTTGCGTGGTGGCTTTTGGTTTGGCGCTACAGGGAGGCCTTATGGGGGTGGCAAGGCTTTATCAGGGCATTACGTGTTGGCGGGAGCGGTGAGGAGGGCAAGTAGTGTGTTGTGTGAGTAGAAAATGGATTGTAGGATTCCTGTTAGGGCGACATTAGTGTACAGTGTACTGCTGCTTACAGGGTATCCGCTTAGAGTCTAGAACTTCTGTCTTTCTTAGGCTGACAGGCATCGGGGCCTCTTACGCTTAACAGAGATGGGAGTTTAGGCTGTAGTGCCCGGCCCGGGATGGCATTTGAGACTGGCAGGGCAAGTCGGCCCAAACTGGCACACGTCCTTTTGATGTCGCGTTGTAGTTATTTGGGGTTGAGGGCTCAGGATTTGGGATCTACATGTTTCGGACTTGGACATCGATGGTGATCCTTAACCCTAAACCCGAAACCCAAGGCCGGGAAACGCTAAACCCCAAAACCTCAAACCCCAAAACCCTAAACCCTAAACCCTATTGCCGAGGTGCTCAGCATCGCCATTCTGGACAACAACAAGGAGGCTTCGCATTGGCTTAGCTTCGATAGCCCATCTGCTTAAAGCCGTAAGGTTCAGTTTAGGGCTTGGGCTTCGGGGTTTAGGGTTTAGGGTTGGTACCTTTTAAACTGGAAACTGAAGCCCGAAGCCTTCGCTGGGGCAGTTGTTGCTGTTGTTGCTTGTTTGTGCTGCGCGTGTTGTTGAGTCTTCTTCGCATCTGGGGTTCTAGGGCTTCGGCTTGTCAGGTTGAGGGCTTTGTGTTTAGGGCCTTGCCGGCTTTAGGGCGTAGGGTTTTAGGGGCGTAGGGCCTTGCCGGGTTTATGGGGCTGGGTTTGGGGTTCAATCTGGTCGCCACTGGCCACATGGGTGGTTGTCAAAATTATGGTCCCTTTTTGGATCCCCAACTTAGTACGGCACCCTTATAAAAAGGACCTCAAAAGGGCCCCTAATTAGAGAAATACCCACATGAAGATGCAGGTCGTCGATGAGCTGCTCAGTGCTAAGGCAGATCCGAGCCACCAGGACTCTGGTTTTTGGCATTGGTCTAAGACATTTTCAGGTGGGTACTTACCGTTATAGGAGCCTTATAGAAGGTCTATATACCTTATAGAAGCCTTATAGGAACCCTATTTTCTATGTTGGGGCCTTGGAGTTAAGGATTGCTGTGCTTTGTGGGTTTAGGATTGGTTTTCTGTTTGTGGTTCTGAGGCTACAGGAGTTTCGAAGTAGCAACAAGAAAGCACCCACATGGGCTTGTTTTTTGTACCATGAGGTGAGGCCCCGACTCGTTACCTGACAGGTGTGTGTTTGCTGGAATTCCGGGTTCGGCTCTTCTGATTTGGGGTCTGAAGCAATAGTTCCAAAAAAATAAGGCCCCTATATTACATTCTCCTGCTATTGTTGTTACGATGATCAGTCTTACTTTACCCTAAACCCTAACCCCCAAACCCTAAACCCTGTTGTTGCGATGATCAGTCTTATTTTCATTGGGGTAGCTTGCTCTCTGGGAAGCCCTCGAAGCTGGGCAGGGGAACTTTTTGCTCTCTGCTGTCAAGCGTATGATAGGATTTAGGGTCTGGGATTTTAGGGTTTTAAGTTTTGTGGTTTAGGGTTTGAGGGTTTAGGGGTTGGGGGTTTGGGTTCATAGGGGTTTAGGCCTTAGGGTCTTGCTTCCAAACCTCCGAAAGTTCTCAAAGCTGAAGTGTACCCATAGCCCCCATGAGGGTTTACCTAATAGGATCCTAAATATAAGCCACAAACAGGAACTACTATGGAGCCTATGGGTACTTCCAGTTCCTCCAGTTTCCGGTTCAGCTTGTTGTAAAGCAGGACAAGGATGGCCGCAACGCTCTGCATCACTGCATCCAGCCTTTCCCGTATGCTTCCTACGAGCAGCTTCGGCAGAAAAAAAAGGGGCTTTAGGGTTTTATGGTTTAGCGTTTTAGGGTTTTAGGGTTCAAAATTGGGTTTTAGGGTTTTGGGGTTCTAGGGTTTCTAAATCATTGCCTACACTATTTTGGGGGTTCCTGGTAGGTTTAGGCTTCAGATGGATTCAGGCTCCGCCGGTTTAGGAGAGTTTTGTGTTTTTGGGCTGAGGCTTTAAGGCTCGAAGTGTTGATTTCAGATGTGTGGTTCGGGGATTTGGGTTTGAAAGAACAGGTGCATACGGATGGTTGGAAGCAGGCCAACTGTGGTTGCAAGTGCTTACAATCACAATTAAGCCTAATTAAGCTACCTGCATCCGTGCTTTAACTGCCCTTCGTGCCTCCTGTGGCAAGCCTGGGCGCCAATTTCTGCTACGACGCAGAACCACTGCCACTGACGCTACCACTACTACTATCACTGCCACTATCAAAATTACCAGAGCCTGAACCCCAAACCACTGCGAAAATCCCAGATGCACGCGCCTGCTCACTGCGATGCTTCGCGCCCCGGGTGGCGTGCAGGCGGCCCAGGCGAAGGCTCCTGGGCGCAGACGAACGCTAGAGTTTAGGATTTTAGGGTTTAGGATTTTTAGGGGTTTTAGGGTTTAGGGTTAAGGGTTTTAGGGTTTTGATGGTTTAGGGGTTTAGGGTTCAGGGTTTTAGGGTTTGTTAGACTAGACGGTTTAGGGTTTTAAAGGGTTTCAGGTTTAGGGTAAAACCCAAGGCTTTTGTGCCACCAGGTCACATCATCTGAGGCTTTTGGGCCATTTTGAGACCTATGGTAAAAACTACGGTGTCCAATCTGGTAATGTAAACGGATCCGCCATTCTCGCAAGATAGTAGTATCCACCCACAGGGTCCGAAAGACCCGTAACCTCCTGGCACCGTTACCCTTCTTGGTACTGACCACGAAGTCCTTGTAATCTGAGGGCGGGAAAGTGCTGTAAAATCCAGCATTGGCACAGCATCAGGTACACCTGGCTCATCCTTGCCACCATATATTCGTTGACTTTTGTCCGGAATGTTAGTGTTCAACGCTTTTGCACCGTAAACCGCAAACCCAAACACCACACCGTAATCCGTACCGAAGTATCTACGATTTGATCACCCTGAGCTTAAAGCCAGAGGACAAGAAGGGCTTGACGCCGATGGCCCTGGCTTCACGTCAAGGCTCTGGTCGCATGGCCCAGGTGGGCTGTCGGGGGGGGAGGGGGGCATCTGGCGGGTTCGGCAAGTTGAGGGGTTTAGGGGTTTTGGGTTTAGGGGTTTAGGGGTTTAGGGTTTGAGGTTGACTGTAGGTCTCTGGTTTGTGAGCCCCCTTTCTTGGCTCTGAACCGTATTGATTACGCCTCAGGGCTGGTCTAGGCCTAGGCCAAGTTACGCGCGAGGCCATTTTGGGATCGTTAGGGACATACGACCTTGTCATCCCCAAATCTCCCCAGCACTGGCAAACCCAGGGTTCTCAAAATTCCGTAGTACCGAAACCCTAAACTCCAAACCCTGAACCCTGAAACACCCAAACTCCCAAAGCCCGGTCGCGGTCTGTACTTCGTCTTTGCAGGATAACAGACTATGCTGTGGTTCTTGTGGCTCGAGGCTGAAAGTGTTTTTTTGATAACTAAGCAAAGCAATGACTTCTGTGTGTGAGCATGACAGAGCTCCTGAACGGGATCGTGGAGTTGGAGAGAAGAAGATTGGCTTGCCCTTAGGCCCCATAATCGTTCCTTTGTGGGATTACCTTATAGGATTCTAAATATGAAGCCAAAAAGGAACTACTGTGGGGCCTATGGGTGAAGTGAACCAGAAACTACGGGACATCCAGCTCAGCTTGGCACGGCCGATGTGGGTCCACCGCCCCTCCTTCAGGACATGAGAACGTCAGTCTACGGACTTTAGGAGGGACCCCAATAGGGACCCTTAATCCCATACCTTAAATAACCATTGTATAGTCCTTATATACCCCTTATGTAGCCAGGTAGTCTCCATATTAACCCCAATAACCTACAAGGGTCCCTATTAAGGGGCCCTCCTAAAACCCTTAGAGTCAGTGTGTCCGCTGGAGTGCAGGGGGCCGAAGTCGTGGTTTGGATTTGTGCCTTGCTGGCTCTGGGTTGTCGGGTTTAGGGTTTCATTACTTTGGGTTTAGGGTTTTAGGGTTTTAGGGTTTTAGGGTTTAGGGTTTAGGGTTTTAGGGTTTTGGGTTATGAAGTAGGGTTTAGGGTTTAGGCGTTTACAGTGATGATCTGGCTGGCAAGCGAAGTTGCCTACTCGGTGCCATAGTACCCGCCCCTGGTCTTGGCTTCGGAAGGCTCGAAACTCCAGAAAAAACGTTTACCCAAAACGCGCATGATTAATAACCCTAAACCCTAAACCATAAACCCTAAACCAGAATGAATGAGTCAGCTTCTTCCGTCTTCCATGCCAGAATCTTCAGGCTTTCACTTGCGGATAAAGTGAATGTTCTGTGGGGTCCCAACCCCAAACAATCACTCCTCTTGCCGCTTCTCCAACCCCAACATGAAAGGGGGAGCCCTTAAACTCTTTAGGGTTTAGGACTTAGGGTTTAACAAGGGCTAAGGGCTTGTGGCTCAGGGCTAAACCCTATACACCCTAAACACATATTAGGGATCAGGGTTTTGGGTAAGAGCCGCGACTCTGAACTTCAGCCTTTGTCTGGCGCTGTATTTGCAGGTCTTGTCTGCCGCTGGCTTGCAGGCCTTTCCGGATTTGGGGCCTAGGAGGTTAGGGACGCTTAGGGCTTATAGGGTTTAGGATTTAGGGTTACTATACTAGGGCTTATAGGGCTTAGGGTTCTTATGCTAGGGCTTATGGGGCTTATAGGGTTTAGGGTTTGGGGGTTCTTCTACTAGGGCTTATGGGGCTTATAGGGTTTTGGGTTTAGGGTTCTTATACCGGGGCTTGTAGCATTTTGGGTTCAGGGTTGGTGGGCTCCGGTTCGGTTGATAGAGTGTTTTAGATTGTGATTCTGGGCACCAGTTCGGGATTTGAGGCCGTAGAATTACTAGGTAGGCCTTTGGGACATTTTACATCTCTCCCAGAGTGGACTTGACCTGGGCCCGTTTAGGGCTTCGAGTTTAGAGTTTCTGGGTTTAGGGGTTTAGGGTTTAGCTCTTAGGGTTTTAGGGTTTGGGGGTTTAGGCTTAGGGTTTGGCCTGGGCCCATTTAGGGTTTAGGGCCTGTAGGGTTGACCTGGACCCTAGAAAGCCTACATGTTTTGGGGCTCCTTATCATGATGCCCCTTTGTAGTTGCTGATTCCTGAAGGGGAGGTTTTTCGGTGCTACGGTAGGGGTTAGCTGTTCGGGCTTTGGGGTTTTTGGCTTTCTGGCTTTAGACTTCCTCCTGGGTATGATGACATGGGTAGTGATTGTATTCAGTGTCTCCAAGATGTTTTCGACGTCAGCCCAACACTTCAAGGTCTTTGCCGCAAGCCATGGAATGAACATCGCAAGCAATGCTTTCGCAAACCCTGCAGCATTAACTGCGTCCGCAATCCCCAAGCCCCGAATCGAGTAGGCCTACTTAGGCCATAATCTGCCAGGTTGCCGTGTCTTCGCCGAAGCTGGCAGCACCCACCACGGCGATGCCGGACGTCGATGCGGACGCCAGGAGGGATGTCATTCCTTTCTCAGGTCCTGCTACAGGGCTTGGGTTGCAGTTGCAAGGTTTACCCTGAACCCTAAGCCCTAAACCCTAAGCCCTAAGTCTGGGCTCCGGGTAGCCACAATATTTTTGGGGGGTTCCTTACTATACTAAACATATTGTAAAGGACCCCAAAACTCCATTCTGATTCTTAATAATTAAGGTTCCTACATTGGCTTCTGTAGCCTGGGTGTCACATAAACCACAGCAGCAGCCCACATATCAAATCTAAACCACCTCGGCAATTGGGTCTGGGCCAATCAATACTGAAGCCCTTTCAGCCAGTCGCATCGTCTGGGTTTTCGAAAATGAACTAGATTCCCATGAGAGGTAGTTTTGGTAGCTTCATGCGAGGAGAATGCATAATCAACCGAAACGGAGCATCATCTACCAGCCCCAGCACAAACATCTAGCAAATTTGATCTCTAACCTTGGGCCACATGGCTCCCCAAACTAGCCTTTGGAGAAGCCCTAAACCATAAACCCTCAAGAGACTCTCGTATTAAAAGAAAAAATGGATGCGTCACGTTTTCAAACGAGAGGTGGAGGAACATGTTTGCGAAAATGCTGCCAGCCTTCTCGTGCATTGGGAGAAGGCGGAGGAGCGATGCGAAAGATGCCGAAAGCGGCATCATGATTGAAAGAAGAAGTTAAATTCACCGCAAGCCTGAAATGCAATGAGATGACCGACGACAACCTGAAGGCGCGCATCAGCCTCGGCGTCTACAACTCATCAATACTCTTCCTCGCGCACGGCCTGTACCGCAGCCTGAAGTCGCGCTACAACGAGGGGACCCAGCTGGTGCCCAAGCCCATGTCCATCTTTGGCTGAGACAAAGGCCTTGTCTTGCTTTGGGCTTCCTGGCCACTCTAATGCGGCGGGATGCATCGAGTGCCAGGCGAACAACGGATGCCCTGAGTACCTCCGCAGTATTCTGGGAGATTTTACACCTACACCTGGTGCTGCGTGTGAGCCTGTAGACTGAGACCTCGGAGATGGCGATCACTTTCCAGCCTGCTCACTGCGGGTTGAGTTCAAGGGTTGGAAGGGTTCGGGCTCCAATTCCAACTCAGCCGTTTTCACTCAAGGAGCCTACTTTGTTCACAATGGGAACTGCTCTCAAATTGCAACTTCCAGGTCTAGAGTCTCCGCAACCTCTGGAAGCTTGCAAGCATCAGTCAGCCTCAAGCTGTTTACTATGCCCTTCATCCTCCTAGCAATATAGGGGCCCTACTCATTTGAATCGGGTTTGGGGTACATTATACTGTAATTACAATAATGAACCCCCTAAACCCTATTCTCCTTACTAAGGCCCTTACAGTAGGCTTTGGGATTGGGAGGTTCCCTTATTTCGGGTGGTTTACAGTATGAACGAATCCCGGGACTGCTCAGTCCACATTAGGAAACCTTAAGGCCTTAAGTACACCTTAAATCCACTTAGGGTCTACCTTAAGAACCTAAAACCCACTTTTTTGTAGGTTCTTATTATAAACCCTAATATGGGATTTATAGGGACCCTACAAAAAAGTAGGTTTTGGGTTCTTAAGGTAGTGTTTAGGGTTCAGCTCCTGAACCTAGGACATTTTCAGGTAGGTAGCTACCGTTATAGGAGCCTTATAGAAGGTCTATATACCTTATGGAAAACTTATAGAAGCCCTATATACCCTAAACCCCCCACCTGTAGTTTCCTTTAACCTGAAGCGGATTTTGGGGGACCCGTCATTTTTTACTGTACTGTTCCGCTGATGGAAGCCGGCAGACGCAGGAGGGAATTGGAGAAGGTGGAGGCCAACGCGAAGCCAACTCCCATCCCAGCCACCTGACAGAAGGAGTTTCTTGGTGTTGGGGTTTTGGGTGTAGGCCCTAAACCCTAAACCCCTGGACGGTTGACCCTTCAACCCTGAACCCTAAACTACCAAACTTTAGATCCCATCTTAGAATCTAAACCCAATTTAAGCATATTGCTTAGTTAAGGGATGTTGGAAGGTCTGGGCCAAAGCCACTCCAGGCTCGAACCGGGCCGATGCAAATCCAACAGCCGTGACACCGGAAGTCGTAAGGTTGTGGGTTTAGGGTTTAGGAATTATGGTTTAATTAAGGCTCAGTAAGTTTTGAGCATCCAGTTTAGGGCTTAGTAAGTTTTGAGCATCTATTTTATGGCCTAGTAAGTCTTGAGCATCTATTTTAGGGCTTAGTAAGTTTTGAGCATCTATGTGGTGGGCTGCGGGGTTCGGGCTTGGGCTTTAGGGCTCAGGGTTGACTCTTCGACTCGGCCGGCCGGCCCGGATCCTGCCGCACCCCTTGTCGCCATAAACCCCGAACCTCCCTCCCAGCTTCCGTTTCAGAAGATGACAGGAACCGTAAATTTACGGCGTGTCAGCAAAGCCTCAAGCCTAGCCTCTGGACACTGAACGCCCCAGCAAGCTCAAAGTCAGCCAGCAAAGGTCCACAAAGCCTATTCCATGAGTGGCGAGAACAAGGTGGCATCTCGGGGAGCGATAAAAGCGCGATGTCTGACACAGAAACCTCACCCCGCTTTGTTTTTGTTGTTTTGGTGTTTCGGTCTGGACGGGCATTCATAACAAGGGGCCCCGGAATCTATTGCTAAGAACAGTGACCCGAATCTCTCAATCCTGAACCTAAGCCCTGCGTGTAGCTCTCCTGCCGGTGCGCCCCAACCTCCGAATGCAACATCTCAAACACCCGGCCCCATATCTCAACCCTAAACCCTAAACCCTTAATCCACAATGTGGATTCTGCCTTAACTGCTAGGTGGAAAAAGGCGCTTAAACAGAAAAAAAAAAAACTAATCCCAAGCCCCAGTCGCTCCGAGCCTGAAGCTTACACCCTACACCTGACTAAACCCTACATCCGACTCCTAAAACACCAGCCTCTCGCCTGCACCCAAATCCAACCTGCGCGCCCTGTTCCTAAACCCTGCACTCTGGAGCCTTAGCCCTTAACCCTGCACATATAGCTCGATGCTACAGGGAGGCTTCCGAAAGGTAGGGTACCTTATGTTGGGGTCCTTATAACAAGGATCCTACTCTTTAGGGTGCTATATTAGGGTGCTGCTCACGCCTCAGAGTCCTCGCACGAGTCCGGGCAAGTACTTCGGGACCTCACACCCACGACATTCGCAATCCTCGACGGTCCTGCGAGAATGTGGTGCAAGATGTCAACTAAACCCTAAACCCTAAACCCTAATTTAGGGGTTGTGTCCAAACTGACGGAGCAGCTGACGAACAGCAGGATGGCCAGGCTTGGTTCGAGCATCCGAATATTTTGCCAAGCGAGATTCTCTTCAAAGGCGGCGTGCTCGCCTTTGCCGCTATAGGCTCCTATATAACACAAGTGAGCCCTAATGTAGAGGCATGAATACTTAACAATACTATGTTGGGCGGTTCCTTACTATGTTTAAAGCCTATAGTAATAGTATACCCCAAAACCCTACGTATTCTAATTATGAGGGCTACAGGCCTGCTTGGAAAGTCGGATACCGGAGCCTTTGACGCCGCCACCACGTGAACTCAAACGTGGGAGCTGGATCCCGGCTGCCCCCCAAACCCAAACTGGGCTTAACATAGGGGCCTCAACAATTACCTATATTATTTTTGGGGGGGTTCCTTATTATAACTATATAACTATACGATAAAGGACCCCCAAACCCTATTCTAATTTTTAGGGCACCTACATTACCCGGAGCCAATCCTCCGAAACAGCACAGCAGTTTAATCAACCTTAACTCAAGTCAGCGTTGTGCTGTGCGCAGGTCTTTGCAGAGAAGACACTTGGCTGGACTGCACACGTCTATCTTGAGCTACCAAAACCTACTTTCATTTAGGGCCCCACTAACTACTGTATTAGGGTCTAAAAACGCACTTACAGAAAAGCAGGTTTTGGTAGTTTAAGGTTGGGTTTTCACGAAGTTACCCTAAACCCTAAACCCTAAACCCCGGGATTTGCAAGCTGGAAGCTTGGAAGAAAGTGGAACAGCGAAGCTACCGACACCGCCACTGCCATTCCTTTTGAGCATGGATCCCTAAGGCCCTAAAGCCCTAAGAACCCTAAACCCCTAAGAACCCTAAACCCCTAAGAGCCCTAAAGCCCGAAGAGCCCTAAAACCCTAGACCCTAAAGCCCTAAAAGCCATAACACCCGAAACCCTAAACCCTAAAGTCTAAAGCCTGAACCGTTTGAGATGCAGCCTAGCAGGGCGACAAGAAAAAAGTCCTTGAAGGGTGGCGACTTCGTGTTGTTGCTTCAGGGGTTTAAGTTTTAGGGTTCAGAGTTTAGGGGTTTAGGGTTTAGGATTTGGGGTTCAGGGTTTGGGGGTTTAGGGGTTTAGGGGTTTAGGGTTTAGGATTTGGGGTTCAGGGTTTGGGGGTTTAGAGTTTAAGGTTTAGGAT